AGGGAGGCCACCGTGCCCTCCTCCCGTGATGCTAAGAACAGACCAGAAGAGCTCTGCAGCGAGCAGGGACGATTATGGGGGTGGGGGTGAGGGTTCTCAGAAGAGGTGATGATTGGAGCCGGGACTTGAAGGGTGAACAGGATTTCCTGACAAATGAAACTACCAGGGCCAATCAGGAAGTGAGTACAAGAGCCAAGTGAGAAGAGAGGAGGGCCCAGAATGAAGGGGGAACAGATTTGAGACAAGCTCAACTTGGTGACCAATTCGCTACAGGGACAGAGGAACAGGGAGGTGCTTCTAGGTGGTGGCCTGTGCCTGTTAACTGAAGAGCCAGCCTAACAGTCTCCACGAAGGCCTGTACTCCTCACCAGACTCCACCACCAACTGGCGGGGTGACCCTGGACCTGTCACTTCCCCTCTCGGACCCCAATTTCCTCATGTGCAAAAACAAGGAAGTTCCACTAGATATTTTCCAAGGTTCCTTCCAGCTTTAACAGTTGGCGAACCTCAAAGAACCATTGAGGCCACAAAAAAAAAAAAAGAAAAAAAAAACACACACAAAAAACAAAAACCCCCACCAAACCATTGAAGCCGACCGGCCTTGGGTGACAGACCATACCCTGCACTCACCAGGTCGCACCCCACCCTGTCAGCACCAGGTCTCTGGGTAATCTGCTTTGCTAGGTTGAAATAAAATTCCCCGAGGTCAAGGACAGTAGCTACCCTAAGACCTCCCAAAGGCCAGTCAAGTGTTTCACAGCTGCTCTGGTGACTGCCACCGAAGAGGAAGGACATGTACTTTCTCACACCTGCCACCCCTCCGCCCCCTGTCAGCCCCAGATCGCTAAGCTAACCAAGCCTGTGATGTGTACACATGTCCCCTGAGTGCGCCCCCTGGAGTCTTTTATCTTAGCAACAGGGGATGCTTCCAGATCAGCTGGTCTCTGAGCACTCATCCAGCAGAAGGAAAAGTGCAAAAAAAGAGGCATAAGGATAATATGCCCTGACCTAATTTAAATAAAAACAAAACAAAGGTAAGCAAGAGGGCAGCTGTCGAGGCGGCAGCTGAGGATAATGGGCACCTGTGCCACCACTGGTGGGAGAGGGGCTACACCAAGCCCTATCTCTCCCGAGAACAGCAGAACCTCAGCAGAACCTTGAAGCTACAGGAAAGGCCAGAGATCCCGGCTCTGTTATTTGCAAGAGCGTAAACCCTGAGTGAGGAACAGACTGGGGTCGTTAGTCACTCTCCTGGGAAGTCACATAAGGAGTCGATTAGGGCAGTTTCCAAAGTGCTCCCCGGAGGCATCAGGGCTGCAGCCCTTTGGAGGGCGGGCTATCTCCTACTACTACAATTACTTGCAGCCTGGGAATGAATCAAGGCCAAAGCCACCAGTTCATTGTAATAAACTAACAAATATGCCGAGGCCCCAGGAAGAAGTGGACTTTGGAGCCGATGCTAATTAGGCCCCTGCCCTACTTTCTAAAATGGTATTTCCCTGCCAAGGAGCCTGCTCCGGGTCTTGTGAGAATAAAGTCGGTCCAACATGTTGAGGAGGTTCTGCTCAGGGCACCCGTCTCTCCAAAAACAGCCCTGCCCCTCAGTCTTACCTTACTGGGCTAATTGCTGTCACCGCAGCTGTCTGAGCTGGCACAGAGCGCCACCGTCCAGCCCAGCCTCGCTGGAGGCAACAGGTGCTGAGCCCCGGAATGCAAAGGGTCACCACAACCCACCAGCCTTTGAAAGTCAACTTGGTTGGGGCAACAACCTACAAGGTTCAGAGAAAACTGCACTCTGCCAGGGGGTGGGAGAGCACCTAACCAAGAGCCCAGCTCCAACCGTTGCTAGTCCAGCCAACTTCTCCCTGTGGCTGCCAGCTCCCGAGCCCAGAGCAACCTCAAAGCTGCACGAAGTGCCCAGGATCAAGGACCTGGTACCGCCAGAACCCTGAGAGGACGGACCTGGAGCAAAAGGAGTTTGCTAGATGTGATGGCAAGAGGGAAAGTGCTGGCAGATGGCCCCTGGCCATGGCTGACCAGAACACACTTCTCTGCTGCTGCAATGGGGAGCTTCCTAAGACCGCGGCCGGCCGGGGGAAGGGGTGGGGAGTGCGCACACTTTCCCCTGCCCATGCCTTAGCCCCTCGGGCTCTCACCAAGAACAGACCGAACACAGCCCCACTGTTCTCAGTGACAACGCCTAACCCCTCCTTACAAGCAAGGAGGTGCTGTGGGCCAGCGGCCATTCAACAGGCCGCTGAGAGCGAGGCAATAGGTGTGCAAACCAGGACAAGTAGCCACCATGGGGAGAGGACCACAGGATGATGTGGCCAAGCCCTAGGGACCTAGCAAGGACACCAGGCAAAGGGCCGAATGCCAGCCGCAGGCCGGTGATACCCGGGGACAGAGACGCAGCACGGGGCTGTCTGCCATCCAAAGCCGCTCCTCCCAACGAAGGACCGAGGCCTTGGGTTTGGGGGAGGCATGAACACGGCAGGTAACCTCCTCAACTTCCCAGTAAGAGGAGAGTCAGGTAAGGGGCTATCTAGCCCGCTGCGGTATCACCAGAATTCATCTCCTACATCGGAGGGCCCCAGATCAAGAAAACCGGTCATTTGAAGAGCAGCACTGCAGAAGTGAATGCCAAGAGAGGGAGGCAGCAATGCCTCCTGATCCGTGGGTCCCCAAGGCTCCTGCTCCGCCCAGGAAAGGTTATCCACCACACACACAACCCCCAGAGGTCGGGATTAGGCTGCTCGATTCTCGAGACAGAACTCATCTGTAATCTAGAAGTTGTCATCTCTCGCGAATGAGCATTAGCGATGAGCTGAGCAGGCGCAGGAGGAGGGAGGGGAGGAGAGAGAGACAGAGAGAGAGAGAGAGAGAGAGAGAGAGAGAGGGAGGGAGACAGACAGGGAGGGAGGGGGTGGGAATCTGCCTGCGCCAAAGGGACGCATCCGCCCGCCTGCCCGGCCGGGTAACGGTGTATGTCTGAAGTCACCACCGCTGGCGACGCCCCCGCAGCAGCCGGACTAGACGTTCCTCTCCAATAATGAAAGCACCCCTCAAACACAGGAGAGTCAAGGGATGTGAAGAGCGGGGGAAAGAGCCGGGGAAAACGGAGAAGCGGAGCAGAGCAAAGGGTCGCGGGGTGGGGGGAGAAGGCAGATCAGTGCGGAGGGAAAGGGAGGAATAAGAGGAGGGGGACAGGGCAGGAGGAGAGGGGAAGATAAGGGAGGTGGGGGAGGAGGGAGGAGGAGGTGGGGGAGGAGGAAGAGATGGAGGGAGAGGAGGAAGAGAGGTGATGGAGGGAGAGAGAGAAGAGGGAGGAGATGGAAAGGGAAAGATTCGAGGATCCAGTGAGCTTTCCACTCACCCGTGTTGTACACGTGCAGTTCGTCCACGATTCCCTCGTTGCCGCCACCAAACACCACGATGAGCTCCTTGATGGCCACGGCGCGGTGGCCGTGGCGGGGCCGGGGTACTGGACCCGACCAGCCCACCACTCGCTTCCAGCGGGGCTGCAGAAGCACCGCTGGCAAGTTGGCGGGCGAGACGGCCGAAGCCATAGTTCCGGGGAAAGGCGCAATGGGAAAAAGTCACCAAGCGGGAATGGAGCCCCCCAATAGCTCTCACACACCCCCTTTCGTCTAAGGCAGCTCTCACGCAGAAGCGGTTTTTCACACAGCGGTGCACGGTTCCATGGAGGCCGCCATCTTAACTATCCACCTTCCCTTCGGTTCTTCCCCTTCTTCTCGCTCACCCCGTCTCCTCAAGAGCCTCCTGAAACTGTCGAGTGCCTAGGCCCGAGAGGCTGGAGGCCGCTGAGTCCTGCCGCTCTAACTACTTGCCTGGGTGCTCCTGCTCACACGCTCGAGCGGGAGACCCTGGGAGCCGCCATCTTGAGCCGCCTCTCTCTCCTCCCTTCCTCAGTCGTAGCCCTCCCCCGCCGGAAATGGCGGAGCCCCGGCCCGGTTCCCACACCCCCCAAGTCCCCAGCACTGGCCGGCTTCCGGGGCGGGTGGAAAGGAGCCACAGGCGCCGCGGTTGTCCCAGCCCCGCCGGCGCTCAGACCACAATTGTGGGAGCCGCCATCTTGAGACCGTCCCGCTTCCCCGCCCAGGTCTTAGTGTAGCCGCCGCTCCTGAAACAGCCCCGACACTTGAGAGCAATAGAGGCGCGCCGGAGGCCAGTGGAAAGAGCTCGAATTCTCAAGGGCTGCTCCGAGGCTTGCGCTGTACAGCTTGTGAGGTCTCCAACCTCTCCCCTCAGTCCGCCTCTGCTGCTCAGGCTGCGCCTGCCGCCCTGGGAGCCGCCATCTTGAGACTAGCTACCCCAACCCCCCTATTCTCTTCCTCCTGGGTCAGTTCTTCCACTGCAAACCAAACGCAAGGCAGCGTCCGATCCTCGCTTCCCTCCTTTTGACTCCTTCCCACAGGGACCACTCCAAAGAGCCAGAGTTAGGCCCTGAAGTGGCAACTGTACGGCAGGAGAAGCGGTAACGGCAGGGTGCTCATGCCTCCTCCCTGGGAGCCGCCATCTTGTGTAAAGAAGTAACAACTAAACATGGCGGCGACGATGGTCGGGCGAGGGGGCGGAGTAAGATGACGTCACTGCCTCCCTCTCCCGCCCTCTGCTAGGCTTCTCCTCTGGCCCGACGCCTCTTAAACAAGCCCTCGCGCTGCCTCGCGGCGAGGGCCTGAGGCCGCTGCGCGCTCAGCTTGTGCTAATACTGAGCTCGGGTCAGGCGCAGGCGTGCCCATTCCCGCGGCCCCCCTCGGTGCTTCTCCACGCCTCCGCCCTGGGAGCCGCCATCTTGCCACTTCCCGTCGCCCGGCCGTCCGCGGGCGTCAATAGCGACTTTCAGCACAAAACAAAGATGGCGGCTGCGGCATCTGGGGAGTGCCCGGATGGAAGTCAGACGAGCTTAGCCCCGCCCCCTAGGAAATTGACCCCCGGGTCGCTGAAGGGACACACGCCTGAAGAGATGCCTTTAACTGGCAATGGGGACAAGGCATAGGTTGCTAAGGGTGGCTGTCACACACTACGGTCGCGCCTCGATTCGGGCAGCAGACGTTTCCCCGCTCCGCACACCCAGCGTCAGCTGAAGAGGCGGCCCGAAGGCCCCTGCGGGGGAAGCTGGGGGCGGGGCGAGAGTGGGCGGTGAAGCGGCCGGCTCCCAGGCCGGCCGGCTCCGCCTCCGGGAGCCGCCGCCAGCGCCGCCGCTCGCACCCGCGCGCCTACGAAATGAGCTGGGTCGCGCGCCGGAACGCCACCGTGCGCTGGATCGTCTCCCACCCCGCCGGCCCCAGGGCGCGCGGACCAGGCTGGTGGCGTTCCAGCCGAGTGGGCGTGCGCGGGAGGGCTCTGGGTTGCCCCGCCTCACCTCACGTCACCCCGCCCCGCCTGCTTCCCAGAGCCCTGCGCCACGCCCCGCGCGCAGGCGCACGGCTGCTTTTCGGGTCCGCCCTTTTTCGGGATTTGAATTTCCCCCAGCGAAGCGAGAGAGGTAAAATACCCGGATGGTGATCGCTGGCCTTTTCGCGCCAATACTGTGAGCTCTCACAACAATCTTGAGAGGTGGGTACTGACGTCGTCCCCTGGTTCCAAACCTTGCAAGACACCGCCTGGGCGCTGCACTGTCATCCTCACTGCTAGACTCAGGCTGTAGTGCTGGGGTTCTGCACCGGTGTCTGGGAGCTTGGAGCGACAACAGATTATTTTTTTTTCACTTCATCTCATCTTTATTTCGTCTTTATTTTCACCAACCTCTAGCCGAAATTTAGCCTTTCCTGCAATTACTGATGTAGGCAGCAGAGCACAGAGCGTCAGCCAGGTGACTTTGTGACCAATGAAAAGGACAGATCATAGAGCTCTTGTAGATATCCTGAAATTCAGTAAATGACAAGACCTACTGGAAGGCAGAATAACTACTTTTAAATTACAGTGGTTATTCAACATGCCCATAGATCTAGACTTCAACCTATTAGAAAAGAAGCACATACATTACTGTATCCCACATTTTCAGAAATATTGTAGTAACCATCTTTTGACATATTAAATGTATGTTGTAATTCTCTGTTTAACTTTATGCCTTTGGAAGCCTTTGTTTGTGAAACGCCAAAGAGGCCCCACCTGTGTGGCCATGCTACCAACTGCCCTAAGTGACCTTGGCCATTCACCTCTCCTCTCTGGCCCTGAGTCCCTCCCCTGAAAAATCAGGAAGCTGAGCTCCTGGTGTCCAGGGGCCGTGCCCACCCTCAGCGATTCTCTCCCCGGAGTTCAGGAATCACTGGTTGCTCCAGGCTCTTGGGCACCTGCCAGGGGTGTCCCACGTTGCAGCCCGAGGGCTGGTATCCCCTTATCTGCAGAGGCAGCAAGGGTGGTTAGCATAGTCAGGAACGCAACCAGCAGTTGTCAAATGCTGCAGGCCAGAGAAGTCACCGCTGTGACAGCTGACAGTGGCTCCTGCTTAAATGCATACCGCCCCAGGAAGCAGGAGAAGCAGACAAACGCGTTAACCACTTAGTCCCTTAGCCAGGAGATAATCATGCTTTTCAGGACTCCCCCCAAAGACCCCAGAACAGCAAGCCTTTGGCCTTTGTTGCCAGGCACTGAGGGAGTCTGTGAAGAACTTTGAGTGTCCCGTAACAAGGGTCATGGCAGTTCAAGAGTACAGAGGACCCAGGCCATAAAGCACCCAGCAGTGGTCTTCCTGGCGGACTTGGGAAGTTGGTTTGATTACATGTCATTTTCAGCTTGCACAAGGGCTCAAGTGGATTCGGCTCAGCAGCCGCAGAGAAGAGCCTCTTTCTATGTTCTTCCTGGACCTCCGCTGTCAAGCTGACAGAGTTTGACTCCTGTTCCTGGCTCTCCTCCAGGCTTGCTGGCAGACAGGAGGGTCAGGCTGCATGGGGTCCCGGAGGCCTGGCACTTCACGCCAGGGAGCCAGGCCCCAAATGGGTGCAGGGAGGCACCTGGAGACACTAGGCAGGGCCTCAGCTCACCTCCCAGCCTGAGCCAGGAGCTGAATGGGGAAGTGCCTGAGAGGAGACAACAGCTGATTTGGGGGAGGGGGGGTAAGCAGGCCAGGTACAGGAAGGACCAACCACTGTCTCATTCTAGCTGGAAGACAGGCTGGGTCTGGGAAGCTCCCAGGGCTACATGGAGATGGCACTTTCATGTCTGGCCAAGAGGTTGGGGCGGGATCATGCATGGAGTGGAGAGCCAGCCATTGAAGGGGCTGACACGATCTGACCCAGTCACTTGAGGAAGATGCTGGGGACTGCTGTGTGCAGATCACTTTAGTGGCCGCTCAGCCTGGAAGTGGGAACCCTGGGGCAGGGGTGGCCTGGAGGCTCCTTAGCCAGAAGTAGAGGGGGTGGGAGGTGCGTGCCAGTGCCACATGCTGAGATGGAGGCTTGTGGCCAGTGTGAGGGCTTCCATTCACTTGTGGAAATGCTAGGCCTCATGGCCCTCCTTAAGAGTGGACCCCTACGGCAGGACAGACAGGAGCAAGAAAGCTCAGCGTGAGGCCCAGCAGTTCCCTTCCCAGAGAACGCAGGTGGGCCCCGCCGAGATGTGACGTGGCAAATAGGACCAGTGAAAGAGTAAGGAAAAAGAGCAACGGTCCTGGCTTGAATTGAAATTGAGCAGCCCTTTACTGAGCACTGGAGGGAGAGCAAAGAATCAGCCCCGGTCCCATCCTTTCAGGGCCTAAACTGCAGGAGGAGAGCTAGACATTGTGCCTCAAAAATAAACGGTGCTGGGCCAGCCAAGTGGCTCAGTTGGTTAAGAGTTAGCTTAGGAGCCACCGGTTCAATTCCCACATGGGCCAGTGATGCTGCGCTTGGGCTGAGCTGCCGCTGAGCTGCCAACAGGTGGCAGGATGGCTCAGCCGGTGAGAGCACGTGCTCCTAACAAAGACTGCCTGTTCAGTGGTGGGCTATGCCCACCCGCAACTAAGACTGAAGTCGGCACCTTGAGCTGAGCTGCCACCTGGATGGCTCAGTGGATAGAGCATGCGTTCTTCACAACAAGGCTGCTGGTTCGACTCCCACATGGGATGGTGGCTACGCCCACCCGCAACTAAGATTATAACAGCACCTTGAGATTAGAGGCCACAAACTGCCAACAGGCAGCCAGATGGAGACAGGCGCCCTCTACAACGAAGAGTGAAGAACAACAACTTGGCTGGTCCCCCTCCCCAGTTCCCCAACACTGTTCTCCTCCCCCCATTCCCCAATTAAAAAACTAAACTAAATGGTGCTAAGTGGTCTTCATATGGAACTCATTTAATTTACACAGCAACACTGCAGGGAGGTACTGGTAGCATCCCCATTCTACAGGTATGCATAGTGAGGCCCAGAATGGTTAAGGCCCAAGGTCACGTAGTAGGTGGGGAGCCAAGGTTTGAACAGAGACAGTCCCTCTAGTCCCCATGCCTGCCTGCCTGCCTGCTTGCCTACCTGCCCGCCTGCTGCCTGCTGTCTTGGCTTTGAGTCATTTCCAGAACATTGAACCTCTTCTTTCTTCGACATTAATACATTTCTAGGCTACTAGGCCAACTCACACTACAGCTAGCCCCAAAGCAGTGGACAGTCAATGATAAGTCTACATTATTTTTAATTGTTTGTCTGCTTCTGTGACTGCAGGAAATGGAAGGTTTTATTGTGGGCCAAGGAAAGAATGTGATTTGGGGATGGCATGGCACTTTGGGGGCGAGCAGGAGGGCGAGCAGGCCTGGGGGGGAGCTCGTTGTGCTGCCTGGCCTCACACCCCCTCCTCCCTCTCCTCTTCTTCCCCTCCCCATCCCCTTCCTCCTCCCCCTCCTCCTCCTCTCCTCCCCCTTCTTTAGCACACCATCTTTTGCAGTGGATTCCAGAACGCAGACCACAGCTAATGGTCTGTAGTTTAGCTGGGTATTTGGTTAAAAGGGTTTGGGGACTAGCCTTGAAACTTCCACATTTATAACACCGTTGAGGTGGGAAAGCCTGTTCTGAGGTGTCACAACAGACCTAGGAAAGGTTAGATTGTCTAAATGCAGTGGCTCCAGGGGAACTAGGGCAAGGAGCAGGATTGTCATGGTACGCAGGTGAAAGAACAGCGCAGGTGTCAGGAGACAGAGGCACGGAACACCTAGCAAGAGAGGATTCTGTAGGCTTCTAGGGGCCGTGTGGGAGAAGGTGAGCGTACTGTGGGTATCACTTCACTTTTGTTTCTGTTTTTTTTTTATGGAAACTGTTGGTGACTCCTGAGGCTGACAGTCGGGAAGATGGAGGCTCTTTTGGATGGTTTTCTGTCTAACCACACTCTTTTTCTAACCACAAAGGAAAAAGGCTGAACGGTCCTCCACTGGTGCCAGCCAATCAGCAGGACCCCCGCCTTCCTCTGGCCCGCCACCACCACTCGGGGCAAGGTCGCAGCATCTGCGTCGGAAATCACGGGTACTTCTTCCTGCTGGCTCAGCTGGGAGGCTGAGGAGTGTTTTGCACACGCTGTTTGTCTGAATTCTGAAATAACGGCAGAGGCTGCCACTCTTGTAAGTTCTCTGCCCCGAGTTACAGCCAGGGTCCCAGATGAAGCCCGAGTCCAGGCAGGCCTTGTGCCACGTGGCCGTGGTCAGCTGCCTCTGTGTGGCCACTGTCCACACGGGCGTCTTTGACAGCGTCCTCGTCCAAGTCGGCTATGAGCACTATGCGGAAGCCCCAGTAGCCAGTCTCCCTGCCTTCCTAGCCATGCCCTTCAACTCACTCATTAACTTGGCCTACGTGCTCCTGGGAGTGTACTGGCTACAGAGAAATGCCATCACCCTAGAGCGCCCCACAGAGGCGCAGCGGGCTCATTACCTGAAGGATGTCTTCGCTGGCATGGCCCTGGTCTATGGCCCCGTGCAGTGGCTGCGGATCTGGACGCAGACACACGCTGCTGCCGTGCTTGACCAGTGGTTCACCTTGCCCATCTTTGCGTGGCCGGTGGCCTGGTGCCTCTACCTAGATAGGGGCTGGAAACCCTGGTTGCTCCTCACCATCGAGTGCCTCTCGCTGTGCAGTTACGGCCTTGCCCTGCTGCACCCCTTTGGGTTTGAGGTCGCGCTGGGAGCCCACATCGCTGCTGCCATGGGCCAGGCCCTGCGTGCCCACAAGCGCTACGGCAGCACCTGCTCCGGAGCATACTTCGCTCTGGGCGTCCTCTCCTGCCTGGGCTTTGTGGTCCTCAAGCTATGTGACCATCAGCTGGCACAGTGGCATCTCTTCCAGCGGCTCACGGGCCACTTCTGGTCCAAAGTCTGTGATGTGCTGCAGTTCCACTTTGCATTCTTATTTCTGACAAATTTAAACACTTGCCAGAGACTCCCTCCTGAGAGGAAGATACATTAAAGTGTGAAAAGAAACTACTTACAGCCGCCAAAGCCCCCAGTGTCAAAATGGATGGACTATCGGATGGCATTTTGTCATCACTGGTAAATTTCCTGGGTGTGATCAGATATGATGATTACATGGAAAACTCCCTTCCTTCGAAATGATGGGCTTCAATACTTAGGGGTGAAATGTTATACCCTCTGCAACTTACTTTCAAAGAGATAAAGCAAATATCCAGGTGCGGAAAATGTTGGGGTTTATTGTACTATTCTTGTAATTTTTCTGTACGTTGACATTTTTCCCAATAAATGTTGGGGGGAAATGGCCCCAAGAAATCCATGACGCTCATAGCTGGAGAGGGAATGGTTGTCTGCAGTAGCTTCAGGATGTTGGTTACAAGTGTGGGCGGGTGACAGCAGGGTACGGTAGCTTCTGGCCAGTGTGGCAGGCCAGGCAGTGGGTGTTGTCAGAGGTGAGGGTTCAGTAGACTGAGTCATGTGAAATACATGTTCAGCAGGCTGATGGGGAAATCGAGGCCAGAGCACTAACTCACCATGACATCTTGACTGCCAAGCTGACAGCGGGTCACATGGAAGCCACATCACCCCATGTCGTTAGTGGAACAAGGCAGGGTGCATCTACGTGAAGAAACACACACAAATGTCAAAAGTTGAATTCTCAACAGGGCATTGCTTGGTGGGTCTACTCTCAGAGCCAGGGTGTGTGCCTTGGATGTCCTCAGAGACTCGGGTCACTGAAGTGTCACGTGCCTGTCGCCATCGGAGAGACCCAGAGCATGGTCTGAGCAATCCCCACATCCTTGTCACCCCAGGCCCTTAGGATCCGTGATCTCCCGATGGCGTCTCAGGGCAGGTCCCTGGAGTTGGCATCTTTAAACCCCTCAGCCTGCTTCTCATGCACATGACAGTGTTTGAACCAGCGAAGCTGGGGTTGACGCTGGGGCTGCAGAGATACTAAGGATTCTGCCTTTGGGTTGCTTCTGCAGACCCGTGGACACCATCCCCCTGTGCATTCTTGTTCCCCACATGTTCTTTAGATGCCTGTTTCACCCTCTGTCACCTGAAATGCTTCTGATCTTTAAAGGCAAAGGTGAGGGCAGAGAGAGGATGCCCTGCCCCTGCCAAATGGCATCTGGATGTCCATGTGCATCTGCCCTGTGCTCACGAGAGCCTCTCGGGTTGGCATGCGGACTGCTGCTATGACTACTGACATGCTTTTGAAACTGGGCACCTGAGCCAGATGTTCTATTCCAGCTGAGCTCATCTCAAATGGGTGGTGGGTGTCAACCAAGCCTGGGCAAATGGTGGGGCCTGGCTCAGGATTTGGGGCCCCGAGACAGGGCATGTCAACAGGGGAAGAGCGGGGGAGGGGGCACTGGTGTGGGGAAACAGCTTTGCGCCGTTACAGTTACAGTTGTCATAAAAGCTCTATATGCCCCAGAAGAGGAAAAAGCTATGGGCATCTCCAGAGAGGCCGCCCGTACCTCAAAGACGCCAGAGGGAGGGAGAGGGGAAGATATGCTTCTTTGGGTGGCTCAGTTAGAGATGGTGGGGGGGGGGAGCAGGCAGGCTCATCACCTAGTGTCTGGGTGGTTTTATCTCCCTTCACTATTTCTGTCTTAGCTCTTTCCCTGATTGACAGAGTGGATCCACTGAGAATTGTTGGGGCTCTCCTTAGTCTTGCTCTTTCCACACCTCTGAGGCACAAGCACCAATAACTTACTTTATTTAAACCAATGCCTACTTAGTAAATAACCCTGAGAACCTTCTGGTTTTCATTCCACTCCTGGGTCAGGCTGGGTCTCCACAGGAAACAGGTGGTATGCTCAGATTAGGGTGACTCAGGATGGTTTCATGGAGAACTAGCACTGTTTTGTGGGGGAGGGGGACCACAGGGAGCCTTTACCACTCCAGGGCCTGGGGAGACCCTGGATGGGGCGAACTCCGCCCAAAAGAGAGACTCCTGTGGAAAAGACACCTCGGGTGGGGCAGAGACTTCCAGAAGCCCAACCCACTCTCCTGCTGGGGCTCCCATCCAGGGTTGTTAGATAAAATGCAGCAGGACTGTGAATAATGTTTTAGTACCAGTATGTCCAAAATATCACGAGATGTGCTTGTACTGAAAAATTGTTCATTGTTATGTGAAATTCAGATTGAACTGGGTGTCCTGTTTTTATTTGCCAAATCAGATAACCCTACTTTGAACAGACCCAGTTAAAGCCAGTGACCTGGAACCTTCTCTTGCTGCCCACTGTTTTTTGATCAGTGTTTCTCAGCGTGGCCAGCATTAGCCACGCAGCTTCCTGGTCCCCTTTGGCTTCTGGCCAGGACCACAGACAGCCTCAGCCCTGCCGCGGGGTTCAAGGGTGCCAGCAATGCTTGAGACACTGGAGGAAGGAGGCTGGTGGCTGTGCTCTGAGGAGTCCTTGCCACCCTCCCTTTGTTTATCGGTTGTTACTATCACGGTCTGCATCTTACACCCCCCACCCTCCAACACAGCACAGCTGAGAAGCCATTGGTTACCAAATGGGCCCTCTCTCCACATTTGGCCTAACGGTTTAGAGGTTCCAAAGCTAGGAGGAATCTTAGAAACCATCTGCGCCAACCCCCTCATTTCACAGAAACTGAAACTCCAGAAGTTCAACTTGGCTGCAAGTTGCAACACAGCATCAGAAACCCCGGCGTCCCGCCTCTGGGCCCAAAGCCCCGGCCATCTCTGTGGCTCTACCTCTCTTTGAGAGAAGCGACCATAATGTTGCTGCCTGGTCTCTTCCCAGCCTTGGCATACTATGGCCTGGGGATTTGCCCCACAGTGAAAATAGTTGTGTTGGTTTTGCTCTGATGGTGGAGGTAATACAGGCTCATGGGTTGGGGGGACTATAAGCCTCTGAGAGGACTCAGGACTCTGGTGGCCCCACCATGGGACATATACTCCCATGCACTTGCTCTCCCCACTCCGCAGTGAGGGATGCAGACACTGCCCCAGGCCCCGTTGAGCTTTAGAGACGCTCTGTGTGTGTGCACAGTCGGGGCTGGTACTGGACCCCTTCCCCCTGTGCTCAATCAGCACACCTTTGCCAGCTTTCGCTCACCTTTCTCCGGGTCAATCTCAAGAGTGTGATTAAAGGGCACGTGAGTTTTAAATCCCTGGGTTGCTTTCCCCACTGACACTCATTGTTCACATTTCTACCAGTGATAAGAGAGGCCTCCCCGGGCCGCCCACCCACCAGCAGGAGTTAGCACACTTTTTCATTTTGTGCCAATCTGATGGGGGCGAAACAAGATCTCATTGTGACTCTAACCCCTGCCTCGTCCACACAAGCACTCACGTGCACAACTGGTGCTCCTGCATTTGTCTTTTGAAAGTTTGCGTTTGTTCTTCTGGAAGTTCCTTGTTTATAGCCTTTCCTCCTCCTTCTCAATGTGTAGGAGCTCTTTTTATATTGTAAATATTAACCGCTTATCTGTCACACAGATGATAAATACCTTTCCTTAATCTATGGTTGCTTCTGATCTTTTTCATTATAAAAATTTAATTATAAAATTATTAGAGAAATAGTTGTTATAAAACAGTTAAAATTGACATTGAGAAGTAAAACAGTGCAGCTGTCATCATTGTTAACATGACGGTTTATCAAAGTGTGGTTCCCTGGCACATTTAGGGATCATTTGTAATTGAGAAGAGGGAATTCCCAAACCCAGGGAGAACCAAGGCGATTTTCTTTCTCGGCAGTTAAGATTGGGCACACGCAACAGGCAAAGCATTTCCCTGTCACCTCTAACGGTCTCCATGAGTAGAAAACTTTGGATAAATATCAATGAGGTGATTTATGTCCTCAAGCGAGCCCCCAAATAGCCATGTGGTTAAGGAGTACCTCTGCCCCACTCGTTTTTTTTTCCCAGCCCCCCAGTATGTTTCTGTAATCCCCTTGCTCGTTGCTAACACAAAGCAGTCTTCGTCCTAGGTGCCCCTGGAGTCCCTGCTGCCTCTCTGGTAAGTGGCCTGGTGGCTATTGGGCCACTTGGCCGGGCAGGGGGCTGGCTGAGTGCCAGGGCTTGGCCCCTGTGGGTCTGGAGAGCTGCCCAGGCCTGGTTGCTATTTGCAGCCCAGGCCATGGTAGCACAGCAGGTCCTTCTAACCATTTTCATTCTTTTCTAGTCTTTTCTTCTGTTTCCCGCCTTTCACTTTGATCTTTGCCCTCTGCTTCTCTTCAGAACTGCTGACTTCTGCTTTTACTCCTGTCTCTTCTTTCTCTGCCCCGCCTGCTTCCACTGGGCCCTCTGCCAGGGTGTCTGCACTGCCACCCTCTCGGCTGGCTCAGGTCTCTTCCTTTGAAAGACATGAAACCTAACAGATTGAGTTGGAGCCCGTCCCTACCGTCCCGCCCCAGAGGTAACCACCATCCGGAGTTGGGTATCCCCTACTCCCTCGCATGCTTTCATGCCTTTCCGATGTGTGGGCATATGCACTAGCAATATATACTCCTGTCTTGTGTGTGCTATAACCTTCTGTAAATGCACCACGTGGTCCAGGATCCTTCTCCACTGGCTGCAGGACCTGACTGGTTGGAGTTTATCCCCAAGTCTCCTAGGGTGCCCGTTTGCGTAGTTCCTCCTTTGGGGCCGCTGTCCGTGCCTCTCTGCTTATGTGTGAACGCTGCACAAGGAATCCACAGCTACACTTCAGCTTGACTGGAAGTGGCCTCACCCCTTGCCAAAGTGGTTGCTGGGATTACTGCCCACCAGAGTTCCCACTGCTCCACGGCCTCGCCAGCACTTGGTACTGTTAAAGGATTTACTGTCTGTCAATCTGATGGGGTAAAGTGGAATTTCATTTCCTTTTTATTTGCTTTTCCTGGCTTAAAAGCGGGGTTGCCTAAAAAATAATAATAAACATAGATTTACCATATGATCCAGCAATCCTACATCTGGGTATCTACCCAAAAGGATTGGAGGCAGGCTCTCTAAGAGATTTGCATACCCGTGTTCACAGCAGCAGTATTCACAGTAGCCAAATGGCCATCAACAGAGGAATGGATGGACAAAATGTGGTCTATCCACACACAGTGGAATTTTATTCAGCCTTAAAAAGGAAGGAAATTCTGACACACACGACAACACGGATGAGCCTTGAGGACGTGATGCTAAGTGGAAGCGGCAAGTCGCAATAGATAAATACTATGTGATTCCACTTCTGTGCGGTCCCTAGAGTTTCAGACTCAGAGACAGAAAATAGAAAGGTTGGTGCCAGGAGCTGAGGAAAGCAGAGAAAGCGGAGTTAGTGTCTAATGGGGACAGAGTTTCAGTTGGGGAAGAT